GACACTCCACAGGAGACGGGGAGTATTGGATCGACCTCGAGAAAAGTGGAAACCTTTTGAGGATCTATTGTGACATGTCAAGATATGGTGGTAATTGAATAAGTCTTTTTTTTAGATACGAGGACTTTAACCGGAGTATATATGACTTGGAGAAGTTTCTATTAGAACATTCTGGTCTTGGCTATTCGTCCTTTCTCTACAAAGATCCTTGTTATGTTTTTTAATCGAAACTGTAAAAAAATTCTCGAACGTGTTTGGTTATCAAGAGCCTGCCTATTTGAACACAACAGGGCAGCATGCGCGTCATGCCTGCAATTTGACGGTGTAATAGGACCGTTAAAGGGACAGTTAACACGTCATGTCGTATGAGCGGACAGAACGCGTCATGTGCGGGCGCTGTTGTCTCGCCTTTCGCCGAGTAAAGTGTTGTTTTTCGTTTTTATGAAAACGTATAACTAATATCTAGTTTCTTTCTCAAATTTTGTCATTGTTTTGATTAATTGGTAAGTGTCCTTTTTGTCTTCCAATTCTGTCTTTAATCATACTCGTGATTAAAAAAGTCGGACTCCCGCTTCGCGGTCGTACGATTTTGGTAATCATTCGTATGATTACAGACCAAATTGGACTCCACTTGGTCAGGTTACCATTATTCATATGTAAATAATTCTAGTTACATGAATGTTACCAGATCACTTAGGTTTGGATCATTTAGGTTTGCTTTATTTTAGGAGGTTGGCTTCTAGTGTCAAATGTTAAGTTCGGAAGCCCCTCTCCTAAGGTGTCAGTTGAGAAATCATACGGTGGAATAGGTAGGTCACACATGGTTCTGCAGAAACGTGCCATGAAAGACACTTGTTCTTCACTCAGCTGAGACTGACTTCCACTGCCACAAGAAACAGGGACGCACGTTCCACGTGGTCACAGCTTCCAACAGCTCTGGTGAACTTGTGGTCCAGTACTTCAGCGGTCAGACAGATGAGCAACCCGATGCCAGTGGTTCGTTTGTGAGATTGAAGTAGGATGACAATTCCAAGTTAGCTGGCATTTGCAAAGATTGGGGACTAGTAAGTGGAAAGGACTTTTTTGGAAAGTGGGGACATGGAGAATTGAAGGCAGGTTTCCCGCCTTCGGACAACTAAGTATCATCTTAAGGTCCACTTGAATAACGTTGGTGACCTCTGCGACATGGAATGCGATGTTATCGCCTCTCAGACTGTTAACTCAAACGACGATTTCTGAAGAGTCTTTGTTCGTTAGTTGCGTGTGACTCAGAGCTGTCTGTACCCTATGCAACCCTTGATTGTGCGAATAACTTCAACAAACGAATAAACAAAGAAAAGACGAACACAAGAAATGCGCCGTCACCGTGACCAGCTGCAGGTTATAAGGA